AGGTGGCTTTTTTTTTTTTTTCCTGCTGGCAGTAGTAGTATAAGCTTGCCAAAATAAATGTTTAACAGCTAATACTTTGGTCCTTGTTTTGAGTCATAAGTATGTCCTTTCTCTAGCTCCCTAACTTCCTGTAGCTTAATAAAGCTTTGGTAAACATACTGTAAAGGGTTTTTGTTGCTGAGCTGTTGTTTGCATCAGGGATTAGGTTTATGTCCCTTGGGGGCCGTGCATGAGGCTGAATACACTATCAGGTGTGCACCTGTGTCCCACTGCAGTCTGCCCGTGTTTATGTAGTCAAATTTGACAAATTTAGACTATTTAGTGTAGAATTCTTGTGTTCCTTAGACCCTGGATTAGCTGTAAATGGCATCAAATCTGTTAATGAATTACTCATCTCAGATATGGCAGCACCATGATTTTTATTAGTTTGTGCAGAAATAAGAGACCCTCTGAATGAGAGCCTTCAGGAGGAAGAGTCACTTCCAGATCTTCTCACATCGACTGTGAAGAAATCCATGGCAGATCTAGCGGCCGCTGCCGCTGCTGCAGAAGCGTTGTTACCCAAGGGCAGTGCTCAGATCACAACAGCGGTGAAAAGTGATTCTCCACCCTTATTACGGGGCACTCTCAGAGATTATCAGAAGACTGGACTGGAGTGGTTGGCAAAGCTGTACCAGACGAATCTCAATGGCATTCTGGCTGATGAAGCTGGGCTTGGAAAAACAGTGCAAGTTGTTGCTTTTTTTGCCCACTTGGCATGTAATGAAGGTATGAGATATGTAGGTCTTTTATAAATCTATATTTTTAACAGTTCAGTAGTGAATGTGTTTTCAGTAAGAGAAAAAAAATGCTTTTAATATGTATAATTTAAAGAAATGTACCTGGAATAAATTTTATCAAAAAGCATGCACAATTCCTTTAATTGTCAGTGCATGTGTATGTTGTTTGTAAATACACAGTCGCCTTTTCTGGTGAGTTCTGAAGCGGGATGCAGTCATTTCCAGTTGTGCTGTACCTTTTCTCTCCATAGGTAACTGGGGTCCTATTCTTGTGGTTTCACAAAACTTTAATGTGCTGAAGTGGGAGATTGAACTGAGGCGCTGGTGTCCTGCTTTGAAAATTCTTCTGTATCTAGGGGACCCAGGAGAACTTCTGACAAAAAGACAGGTATTGTGGAACACTGTTTCATCTGCACGTGTACTGGGTAACGAAAGCGTGACGCAGAAAGGAAGTAGCAGCCTGAGTCACGTTATACCATTGCAGTGAAAAACTTCAGTATAGTGATGACAAACCTGGTTCTTTTTTCTTTTGTTATGTAGCATACTGGAAGAATGAAGATATTTCTTTATTTCATGAATGCTAGCTGATAAGCAGAGTTTGGTATTTTCTGATAAAATCTGCTTTGTTGACCAGCCAAGTCTGGCTGGCCTCTTTTAAGTCCTGTGTTTGTACTTACTGGCATGATGTCCTTTGCACGGATATTTTTGGCTAGTATCTGATCTCTGTATGGGGAAACTCGCATCTCTCCTCTGGTGACTTGTACCTCAGCATAGTATCTGCAGAAGTTTATTAAGAAAATGTGTTTAATTTAGCCCTTTCTGGGATGAAAAATCAATGCATAACCTAGAAGAAGCAACAAGAAGTTTGGTGCCTATTTTGTAGCTTAGAAACCATGTATGTGTTTTCAGGCTTCAAAACTTCATAAAACTTATTTGCAAAGTATGCTTTTTCTGTATTGCTTCTTCGAATTTTTGTATTTTCAACTTCCATAGTTAAAAAAGGACTTCTTGGGTTCCTCCATTAATGCTTTTACAATGTACAATTTTTATCCCTCCTTTTAGGATGATGTGTCTTTTCCATTTACCTTTCAATTTATTTCCTTCTTGGAGTCCTTCACATAATCTTGGGTTTAATAGCAGTTTTTCACTTCTCTCTGAAGTTTGTAGAATTGGGCCATATAAATCATGTGAGAACTTTTTCTTGCCTTTTAACCTGAGCAGAGCAGAAGAAAATTAACAAAACTGCCATAGCTTTGAGCATATTTATTCCTTTAATTCTGTGACTTTTTCTTTCATTCTTGCAATTTTAACTTTGTGTTGTGTTGCTAATTTTTTTTATTTGCAATTGAGTCCATAACTAATTTTGATACTTCTGGGTAGAATTTACCTAAAGATTGACACACGTGAATCTTACAGATTAGAATTTCTCCATTCTATTGGTAACCTGTAACAAGAAGTGTAAGTATTCTGATGCATGTCTAAACTCTTCAAGGAACAATTTAAAAATGTATAAGGAAAGACTTTCGTTGCCAGTTGTTTTTGGATGGCTAGGAAACTTGGTCTACTGTGTTTCATAGGAAAAGGGTTTTTTCTTTAAAAAAGCCCAATTTCTGTTAAGGATAGCTTATACAATGTTTCAAACATCACAACCAGAAAGTTAAACTGAGCATTCTATTCCCCTTTGGGATTTTGAAAGCTTTGAAGAACTGCACTGGGATAAAGTGAAGAATAACCTATTTTAATCCCAGAAGAAGAAACAATCTTTGTTCTGAAAGCCATCCGAAAAGCCTCTAGGATATCTGTATATTTATGTTGCAGGAATGGACTGACCCCAACACCTTTAATGTGTGTGTTGCCTCCTGCGAGCAGTTCTTCAAAGACTCCGAAGCATTCATGAAAGTACAATGGAGGTACCTAGTTCTAGATGAGAGGCAGAATGGTGGCAACATGACAGAGCAGCACTGGGATGCAATATTCAATCTCCAGAGGTCTGAAGCATTCACTCACGTTTTCTTTTCGCTTTTGTCTATCAATTACTTTCCGAAATCACTTCAGCAGTTATACCTGCAGGTTTTTTGAATTTTCTTGTTGTGATGCAACTTATGAAATAGATCTTAATTGTTACCTTCATTGTTCGCAGCCATCATCGATTACTCTTGATGGATACGATTCTGCCTACTGCCTTCCAAGACCTGTGGGCCATTGCCTGTTTCCTGATTCCAGGGATTTCCCAATCCTATCTGTTTTTTACGAAGGTAGCATCTGTGGAAGGGAATGAAGATCATTACCAGCGAGTTGCAGCGAGACTGCAGAGAGTACGTCTCCTTTGCGGATAGTGCCTTAATACTAGTATCTCTTTCTCTGAGGAAATACAATTAGGAAATTATTGGTTTGTATTCTTTCAGGTAATGCAGTCATTTATTTTGCGGAGGTCCAAAATTCATGTTGAGAAGCAGTTACCAAGGAGATATGAGCATGTGCTTACGTGTACTTTTTCTCATCGGCAGAAGTCAATGTATAAAGACATCTTGTCTCAACCAAGGTACATCTCCAGAGTGGTTCTTAATTGTTCTGTCATCGTTAAAGTTAGGAACCATTCCGGTTACAATCAGAGAGCTTGTTTGCTAGGGTGTTATTGCTAAGCGAGTGACGGGCAAACCAGAAGATTAAAGCACATTGGCATAATCACAGTGCTCTGCGGGCTGATCATGTTCTACACTTAGTGGTGATTGCATTCAGCTATTTCTTCATTCTGTGTTTGTTTATTTAGATCTAGTTGTTTTACAAGGTGAAAAGAAGCGTAAATAAACAGCACCTGCAGATTCTGAGGCAAAATTACTTATAACTTAGGCAATTGACCATGTGTCACAGTTTTTGTCTAAATTTAGTTCTTAAGTTATTTAGGGACTGAATACTCTGGGTTCTATGTTACACTACTTTTCTGATACATCTAGTTTGTATTTTCCAGTGGTTTTGATAATTTAAAGTGATATTTATTCAGGTGATAAAAAAAAGAGACCTTAATATTGACAATATGTGTTTCACATATTATCTGATGTCATTTCCATTTAAAATAGACTGGCTATTTGAGAAATTTAGGTTTATCGTAATGTGAGTTTCAAAATCAGAACATATTCTATAAATTATTAGCAGCTTGTGTGAATGTGAGAGAAACTGGAGGAATGGAAGACTGCATTTTTAAACTCATAAGTCTGATAAGTTGGTGTTATCAGATTTATTCAGAAAAACAATTTGAGTGTGCAGAAAGACCTAGGCTTCTAAAAGGCACTGTTTTTTAGAGATAATTTAAATTATGTTTTCATTTTAAATAACAGAACTCAAGAATATCTTAGAAGTGGACACCTTGCCAGTGTCCTCCATATTCTGACGCAGCTGCTACGGGTGTGTAACCATCCTGATCTGATAAGTTCCCGGCTCCCAAGCTCTTCCGTTGTATTAGACACGCTGGAGTTTACAACTGCTTCTCTAGTGCTGAATGCATTAGCATGGGATCTTTGGAAGGTAAGCAGGGAAGTCATTTTCTTGTGCTTGACTTGATTTGACTGGGAGAGCAGGTGGCTTAGGACATAAAATTTCTTGCACATAATTCAGGTACCAATTAAATTTCAAAATCTGAATTGCTAATTCGTTTATTTTTAGAAGCAACTGCAAAGACTATAAATAATAAGCACTGACTTTATGGTAGTACTAAATTTAGTTGGTATGCTGGGAATTTGGCATCCTTGTCAAAGAAGGTCAGACTATTTTGCAACATATTTTAGTTTTGTTTCAAGTTCCCAGTTAACTGAAATTGATGGGCCTTGGAATCGAGGGAAAGGTGCCATCCTTGTCCTGTCCTGAGTAGTAGTAAGGGCATAGTTAAGCTGTGTACAGCTCTGGAGGTGAGGACCTGTCTCAGGTTCCACAGTTTAATTTTAACTATAGTCTGTTAAAGTTATATTGCAAGGGGTTTCATCCATCTTTTTCTAGTGATTTCAGCAATACTAAAGGCTCAAGAAAGACTGAGCAGAGCTAAAACAACGGTATTATGTGTCCTGAGAAATTCAAATAGTTACTCCTTTAAGTCTATTGGAAAAACAATTTTGGGGTGGGGAGACAGGGCAAGTGTCAAAGGCTTGGGAAGGAAGTGGGGTTAGTGTATCAAAGTGGGAATAGCTGAATCTGGGATGCCAGTTCTACAAAGACAAGTATTTTCATTACAAGAGTTGAGTTGACCGCAGAGCTTGTAATTTGAGGGTGCTGTCCTGTTTTTGACTCTTGGTAACATGAGCATAATGATCTATTTTCATGGTGTAGGTTGCTGAAGCCTTTTAAAGTAACAGCAGCTGGTCTCTCTGCAAAATCACAGGACACTTGGTTCCTGCATGTTTTGTTTAATTCTGGCATCAGCTGTGTGCTTTTTAGTCATTTTCAGATAATGCGGTATTACTGCTATTATTATTTTTTGTAATTGCAACTGAATGATAGTAGAATATTTCTTTAGGTTGGTGGGGTTTGTTTGTTTTTTAAACTTCAGCATGCAGACTGGTCTCTCTTTGATGTGATTGGGATGGAAAACAGAATGACTCGCTATGAAGCACAGATCCTGCCAAAACTGAAGGTAACTAGGGAGCGTATTGAAGAGATCTACAGTTCTCCTTCAGCACCCAGACTTGAGCCGCTGAAGCTGAAACCAAATAGGTATGCAGTGTTCCAGTGATTGATTGATGGACTTTCACGGGTGAAAACAAGTAATATTTGTGAGGGCAGAGAGGGTTCATTCAGAAGCATTTGTTTTCTTGCTATCTTTTGTTTCCAAACCGATCACTGCTAAAGTTTCTGAGGGAAAGCAGGCTGCTTTCTTTTTTGCCACTTCACAAATGAAAAGAATAATTAAGGCTCAGTTGGGATCTTTCCTGCCAAACTCAGTAGAGTTGAATTCTGTTGTGTTTTTGATCAAATGGTGGAAGTAACTTCTGCAGCAGAGTTTCTGAAGCAGAATAATTAAATCTTGTCCTTCTAGTTAATTTTAAGTCTAAGACGTGCTTGCAAAGCACTTAAAGAATCTCAGTGGAGTTGTGTTTTTTGGGGGAGGGCGGAGGGGGCAAGGGCGAGAAAATAAGTTGTTCTGTCCTTTTGGTTTTGCTATTGACTCTTCACAGACGTGAACAGCAGTTGGGCCTTGGAGCAAATGTAATTCTGCTGTAGAGCAATGTAGATGTAAACATTTAACAGTAAGTTAACTTGGCAAGAGCTGAGTGTGGTTACTGCGTCCCAAGACAGCTGGTGTAACGCAGCTGTAATGGGTGACAGGGAGGGTGTCCTACACTAGTTCTGTTCTGGCAGTTCTGCCAGAAGGCAGCTTTGTCAGTTAATGGAATTTAAGAATCGGAAGCGATACATAAATATATACATAAACCAGAAAAAGAACTAATTCTTTTATGAGTTGTTTTTAAACATGGATGTTTTTAAAACCAGGCTGCCAGAAGATGCATGGAAGTAGAGATCCCCTGCTTTTTGTACTTACATTGCACCTAGCCATAGTCCAGACTTTAGCTCCATTATGAAGTTGGATCCTTACTAGCATCTCTTGGGGAGTTTTCTTGCTGTCACCAGACTCCAAAGATGATTAAGGAGTTTGGGAGATCTGTCACACTTGTACCCCTCCATCATTCAGAGGAGACTGGAGCCTCGGAGCGTTTGGTGTACTTCCATTTTAGAGTATATTGTTTGTTCTGCAGGTTGAGAGAAGCAGAATCCCATATGCTCTGCAGCTGGGTACCTCTTGTAGATTACGGACTAAAAATAACGACTTGCTTTTTAACTTGATTTTTGCATTAGGAGGAAGGGATTAACAACTTCCTCATGTATGTGTTTTGTAGGTGTAGAAAGCTGATTTTGTTCATTTCCAGGTTATTTACACCAGTGCAGTATGGACAGAAACCTGAAGGTAGGACTAGAGACTTCTCAAGGTCTCCATTACAGAAGAAGGTGGACACAGCGACAGATCATTGTGAGAAAATAAAAAGACGACAACCCCTTGTCATGTTCTCAGAAAATCCGTGTAGGAAAGGTGTGTTGTACAAATAAGAGAATATTGATTTCTGGTTGCTGTCTTTCTTTTAATATTGCTTGAATCTGGGGAAGAAGTGAGGTTGTACTGTATGTGCTTGTGCATTATGTATTTCAATATCGGGTTCCATTAGCAGTTTTCTAACAGGAATTTGCTCACAGAATCAAAAGTCCTTATTATCTGTCTGTCTGTCTTTTATAAACAGAAAGATACTATTGTGCAAACAGTGGAAGTTCTGCTGGCAGTTGTGTTGGTCTCCAGGTATCCCATCCTCATGAAAGTCTCTTCAGACCTGACCTGCTGTGTGAGGGACAGCTTTGCACGCATCAGTTTTAACTGACTGATCAGACTTAGGCATCATCACTGTCCCATTCGTTGGGTCTCTGCTGAGCCACTACTAAAGGTCATTATTAAATGGGTCTTTTTTTATATGATGCAGCCCTTTGGAACAGACCATTTTCGGATTATTTGGGCTGTAGTGCAGCATTGCAAGCACACTTTTTTCCAGGCTTTTTTAAAATTCTCCACATATTGATTTCAGCTGGGTACTGTACAAGTTTTTGCATGGTTGAATGAGAAGCATACAGTATGAAGGGAGACTGAAAATTATATCTGATGAGTATTCTTTTGTGGTGCCATCTGTTCTAAGAACTTCTTTCATTGCTAAAAATGAATGCGCAGGAAAAGATCTCTTATGCTGTAGTTTTCCTCCAAAACTTGGCTTAAAATATACCTGCGCAGACTCTTCAAGCCCTTGTAAAGTTTGTACATTATCAAGTGAGTACACATGTGAAATACTAGTCCAACTGTACCTAGGAAATCATCCTTTTTTTTTTTTGGTAGGTCTACAAAAAGTACTGAGAGGAAGAACATCTTATGTGTAGTTTAACCACACACAGTATTAGAGGGAAACCTAGTCTATTTGCAGTTAAGTGCAACCTGAGTGTTTTATGTCTGGACTAAAACTGCCCTTCACTGGAAATAGAGCACACTATATGCATGGAATAAGCATTCCAATCCTGCGGTGTACAGTGAGAAAATTCTTATTTTTAAACCTTGTATCTTTTTTTTCTTCTCTTAGCAGCCAGCAAGATACTACTCAGCCCAACGGCTTCTGCAGCTGGAACACAAGAGAGAGGTGCTCAGCCAGAGAAGCCTGTAACATTACAGTTTAGAGGGAAAACATTTACTCTGCCTTACAGTCAATTCTGTCAGCTTATCAGCAGACAGTCTCTGAAGTATCAAGGTAAGGTGCTACATGATTCAATTCACAGCTTTCTCCTTTTTTTATTTTTTCTTTTTAACTCGTCAGAAATAAAAATTCTAGAAGCTACAATATCCTTATATTGTAATATCCTGTGTCTCTGAAATGAAAGTATTTTTCTTCATTAAAATCTTTTTCTTGTCTTGCTGCTTTCCTGGAAAAATGAATTTATTAATATGACAGCTGATAACTTGAGCACTAAATCTGAATCGGCATCTACACTTTCGTGTCCAACTCAGGTACTACTCTAACTCTTTATCTGATAGAGTCTCTACTTATCGTGATCAACGTACAGTTTACAAGATTGATGTGTGTATATTTGTTGGCTGAAACAGTCAAAGCTTTAATATTTAAAGCATGTAGAATATCATAATTGACTGGTCTCATCCATCTGTACCAGTGGACTGTCCAATGGTAGTTTGAAAATCCCATGATATTTTTGCCAGTAGGCAGAGTGGGACAGCATTTTTCAGTTATTTACTTTTCATTAAAATACCAAACCTAACATCTTTCCTTGCATCACAAATACTGTTCTGATCGTCAGCTTTTCACCTGCTCACCTCTCCTTTCGTAGTCATTCACAGAACTCTCACATTGACTAAATTATCCTTGTTTTCAACTCTCTTTTGCATAAATTTCTTTTTCACATAAGCTTTACCTGGTCAAAACACACTCAGAAAAGAATTTTGAATTCAAAGGGTATCATAGAAGAAAAAAGACAACTAAAGGAACACCTGGACAAAATATATTCTGTGAATGAGCGTCATTGTTCCAGAACCCCCCTCTATGGCAGAGACTTGTTGGAAATTTGCTCTTGGATCAGTGAAAGAAAAATCTCTCAGCACTGTTCTGCCAGGATTAACAAATGGCGCTGGGCTGGCTTTGCCAATTGCCTTCCATATTCAAGTACTTCAGGGGTTCTAAAGGATCCATTGCAAGAACTCATTCTGAGCTTGAAGCAGCAACAGATCGCATTGAGGGATGTTGTTATTAGGTAATTGAGACAAATCCATTTGCAGTCTTTGCACAAATTTGATGGGGGTTTAAGTAAAGTCCTGTAAAATGCTAAAAGTGATAAATGAGTTGTCTTGTTTTAACCATACTGCGAGCTAAATTCCAAGTGATGAGTTGTCTTGTTTTAACCATACTGCGAGCTAAATTCCTTTGTGCAGAATCTATCTGCATCTATGCTCTATGGCAATCGCTACTAGTTACACAGCAATTTGATTTTGGCATGTCTTGAATTTTTTGTGTGAATACTTAAAGAACAGTAGGAGTTGTAAGCCAGCGTACCTGGGTAACTTTACGGATAGCGATAGTTTCCTCTTGTCTTTTTCTGATCTTTTGCATTTACTTGGCATTAACGCCTAACTTCCTCTGCTGATTTACTTTCAACTACTTTAGCCAGGTCCTTTATGCTTTCATGCAGGCATCTGCTTTATTGCTGGGTTTGAGTAGTTAATAACCCACGCTGTTATGCATTAGTATATTAAAGTTTTGCTTTGTTTTGCAGAGATCTGCGCGTATTGCCAGCTGTTGCCGTTGCTACTCCATATCTGTATGTAGCACATCCTCCTTACACATATACCCACAAAATGAGGGTCCTGAAGCTTAGTCTAAAGGAACAGATACTTCCCTACTTCCATTCACTGCAGCAGATAGCAAGGCCTCATTTTCTACAGTTTCCAGATCCCCGCCTGTTGCAGCGCGATTCAGGTATTAAAAGCCCACCCTGTTACAGCTGCGCGGGCGTGCTTCCTCTGCTTGTCGAATGCTGTCGGCAGAACCTTCCAGTCCTTCTTTCGTAAACAGGCAAGATGGAAGCTCTGGCTGTCTTGCTTCGGAAGCTGAAAGCGAGAGGCCATCGTGTGTTGATTTTGACGCAGATGATTCCGATGCTTGATATACTGGAGCTCTTCTTGAATGTCCGTTTTCTCACCTACGTAAGAGTTGAAGAGAGTGGTGCTTGCAGTTGGCGTTTTCTGGTAAGAGGACCCCTTGCTCAAGTTAGTAGTGAACAGACGCTCATAGTGGGAGGGAAAATACTAGAGGGAAGTCTAATACATTTGCATAATTTCATTAGTTATTTAAGCAAATTATGTGTGTAGCTGTAGCACAAAATATGTAATTATATATGAAATATGTCCATCATATTACTATCTGATGAGACATCCAGTGTGTTTCCAAGGGGTATGCCACTAGCTGTCCTACATTTATGAGTAATTTGTGCTTGCAATACCGACATTTTATTTCACAATAGCATTTTTATTAATTGCTTCTGCTTTCATTATCTGTAGCTATCTACACTGTCAGTAAAGTGCAGTTGCTGGTTTTATGTTGGCACTTCCTCAGCCTTACTCCAGGGGCTTTTGTTTTTTTGTAGAGTGACCTGGCATTGCCTGAGGATAAATTGAAAGCATGCTCATTTCCCTCCCCAGTAAGATTCTCAGTATCCTCTGGGGCCTACAGTTTGAGCAAACATTAATGATACGGTTAAGTTATTCTTTTTTTATTCTTTATTTCAAATTGCATTGTTATGCTTTCTGTTGGATGCAGTACAAAACATAAAGGAATACTTTGCCTTAAAGCAACCCAAGGCAGCACAAAAGAAGGGATTCAATTTAGTCAGTAGACAAGAAAAAAATGGTGAAGCACACACGGAATGTAATAACCCTGTCAGGTGTGCTTACTCATAGGACACAATGTGACTACTGTAACAGAATTTCAGATTTTATCTGGTTGACTGCACCAGAAGTTAATAGTTTTTGTGGTACACAAATTAATTTTGGATTGTGTAATAATCTGTAATGTGGGCAGTCAGATCACTTAAAACGTGTGCATGCTTAAGGTAGGTTGGGGAAGTGATAAGAAAGCAATTTTTCTGATCTCATTCTATAAAAAAAAAAAAGTTTATTAGAGATTTATGCTTTATTACTGTGAATTTGTAATTAAGTTTCTTGTCTTCCCATTTTAGGAATCCATAAAAAACTTCAACCAAGACAAGCGATTCTTCTGTGCTATTCTTTCTTCCCACACTCCTGCCACAGGTGTCAGCCATGTAGATGCGGATGCTGTTGTCTTCTATGACACTGACTTAGATCCGCTGATGGAGAAACAGGCTAACGAATGGTGTGATAAAATTGCAAGAGGCAGAGATGTACACATATACAGGTAGGTTGTAGCCAAGAAATAATGTAGGTGTTTTAAAATCAAAAGTGGAAGGAAGAAATTTATAGGTAAAACTGGAATTTTTGAGGTCATCCTTTCAGTTTAAGTCATTTGGTCTTTTAAGATGCCTTTAAAGATTGGTTCAGTCATACATATTTCTCTTCAGACTAAAGGGAAGGTGAAAAACATGTCCTTTCCCTCACTATCTTCTATTCTTGTCTTTCCCTCCTACTCGCATCTTGTAAGTCATCTGTATGTCTGTGTTGGAACAGTCAAAGTGAACATTAATATCTGTGGGTGTTTCTGCTCTTGATAAACAATAAATGTCTTTCTGGATGGTCTATCCTTGGATTTCAAATCCACTAGTGATGCGACGCTGATGTTCATGTAGTTCTAAGATGTATCTGAAAGCTTCTCTCAAGAGACTGTTTCTTTTCCTGGAAGGACATGCAGAGAGCAGAGGTGAGCTGTTGCTCACACCACTGACCAGCTATGCAGGGTGGTGTCTGTTAGCCAATACCCTGCGATTTTAAGGATTTTTTTAAAATCCAGTTGTATATGAGACAGGCTGTTTGTTGTGCACTTTGAAAATAAGAACTTAAAAGAACTCGGTGTTTTGGCAATATGAAATCAGATGTAAAAAGAAAACTTTCCTCTACAAAACTAACAAAGAATTCAAAACCTCCTCTGAAAATACCTGCTGGACTCTGAACAAGGGTTGGTGCTCACTGCTGTAGGCGAGGAACATTAGACAGGAAACACCTGAGTTTCAGAAGGTGTCGCTGTTTTCTAGGGAACAGTGTTTAATGAGTTTCTTTGTTTTACAGGTTTATAAGTGGTAATTCTGTTGAAGAGAGGCTGTTGAGAAAAGGTATTAAACATTTGATTCAAGAAGTGGCTGCTGAGGGAGATAATCGTTCGACAGACGTCTTAACTCAGGTACCGTGACATTAAGAATGGGAGCAGTTCTTTAATGACATGTATAAAAATGAGTGCTTTGCAGGATCACAGTCAGAATTTTAAACATCATTTAGTTTTATATTTATTTCTAGTCTTCTCTGGGGGCCAGTGGTATGTGATCACAGTTAAAATCAGTAAAAACCCTGAATTGGCAGCTTATATAGAAAATTGGAAGATAAAAATGTCTGGAAAGAAAACTGTGGTTGTTCCAATGATAATTTTACACTACTTTTGACATTGTTTTCATCCAATGAAAACGACATCTCCTCCAGCAAAAGGTGGCAGATGTGTCTGCAATCTGACTTTTCTAGGCTCAATTTTAGGACCATTAAAAAACTTTTGACATCATACGTTGTCTTACCGAACACTTGAAAACACATTCCCATAAGGTTCTCCGCTCCGAATGCGGAAAAGAGGATTCCAGAAAGTTTACAGAAGAGACACGATCTGAGGAGATAAGAGAAGACATAGATTCATAGGTGCATGATTCAAGAAATGCCATGGCTCCTTCACGGTTAGAACGGCTGGCTAGCTTTCTGGATGAGGTATGACAATTTCTCTTGTTTTATGTAAAGCTTTAGAAATGCATTTTCCTGTGCAACAATCAAATGGCTTTCATATTCCACTCCATTTGCATGAAACTGTTCTGTGAAAACTTAAATACTGAAGCAATCCTGGGAGGTAATTTGAGCTTGTTCATCGACCTGTTCACATAGTGAAACAATGTAAGTCACCAAACTTTCTCCTGAGGATGAGGGAAGTGCATTGGAATAAATTGTATCTTGTGAAATGAAACTGTTTTTCAGTCCTGTGCTTTGCCAGATGCTTGTGTTTTTTCTTAAAGGCCTTGGACGTGTTTCCTCTTAACCGTGAAATGACTGTTTTTGGCATTCCCTAGGTTGTGTCAGATTCTGATTGTCTCCTTTTCCCTTCGGCTGCTTGTGCAGAACCCCAGTAGCAGCCTGCTTACTGACAACCAGTCAGGAGTGTGCATAATAATCAGATGGGATTCTCCCTTTTTTTTTTTTTTTCCCCAGTTAGAAAAATGGAAGCCAGTAGTTGGAATCTGTTCTCAGTGATACAGGTGGGATGTGAGCACACTAGCTAGGGACCAGAATGTCAGATTTTTGATCCTTTGATCTCTTTTCTACTTCAATTATGGTGACATTATTTGCAACTAAAATAAATACATCTATTATTCGGGATTTTTTTTTTTTTCTGCTTGTTTTCTAAATCACAGGTTACTTGTTTGTTTCTAATTCAGCAGCTAAATAACTAGCAATGTGTCCAAATGTTTTTCTGAACAGCTTAAGCCGATTGAAAAGTATGCATTGAATTTCTTGGAATTGTTTCATACTTTGAATGAGCAAAAAAGCCAGAATGTCAACGAGGTAAGCAACTGTATTTCATTTTTTGATTAATTAATAAAAACAAAATGGAAAACAACTGTTGTCAGATTTTTTGTTTGTTTGTTTATTAGGGTGGTTTTGTTTGGGTTTTTTTTGAGTACTGAAATTTTGCTTGAAATGATCGTGGTATAAAACCAATCAGTTCCTAATTAACAGGTAGACATATTTCCCTTTCTCTCTACTGGCATGAGGGCCTTACTCAAGAATGAAAACTCAGTTTAACTAACTGTGCTATGACTGTGAGCCAATAAAAGGCGAGACTCCAATCAGTGGCAATTTACTGCCGTTAGCATATTTATTGTGGTAATATTTTAAAGTGTACAAATTTTCTTCCTAAAAGGAGTTAAAAACTGCAAATATAAAATGGGACTATCAGCATGCCAAGGAGCTGGAAAAGACAAAAGAAAAACTTCAGCAAAAAAAGGAACTCTTAACGTATACCAGACAGGATGCTTATAACATGGTAACATCAAGGGATCTCCAAGTCCCTGCTTTTCATTTTTTTTTCCTACTGTAATTTTTGAATTCTAGCTATTGCAACCATGCTTATGTCTGTAAATGCTGCGTTCTGGGCTGCATGACGCATTGAGGTATCAAAAAAATCTTTTGTTTCTGATACAGGAATTTGTCTCTGAAGGCCCAGATGGAGAAATAGAGATAATGCCTGTAAGTCAGTAGCTCTTCATCTGAAGGAAACCTTACCTAAAGTACTTTAATTAATGGAAAACTATGGGATGTGGGGTTTTCTTATTATTATTGTTGCTGATTTTGCTTTGTTTGGTGGTTTTTGGTTTTGTTTTTTTTTAAGCTCTGGACTCCCCCTATTGTACCTGAGAGTCATGATGATGTCTACACTGATTCAGTCATGTGTCTGATGTATACTAGTACCCTGATTCCAGAGTCTAAGCTTCCACCCCTGGTTGTTAGGAAGGCGTGTAAGCGAAAGAGAGCAGATCTGGCATGTAAGTTGGATGTAAAATTGCACAGGAAGTTGTGGTAATTTTTTTGTGTGAAACAACACGAAAACTGTTTTGCAAGAATATCTTTAATTTTGTGTTTAAAAAATCTAGGCTTGCGTGTACCATTATCTCTGTTAAGATTGCGATTGCTCAGACAAGATGATTGAATGTAGAGCGAGAGCAGAGGGAGTGCACTGTGAAAACCCGCTGTTGTCCATACGAATCAGAAATAGAAGTATGGGTGAATTAAATGAGTAAAGCAATGAAACCCCCGTGTGTCCATTTCATCTGCCTTTTAAGCTTATTTTCTTAGTCAAGCGAAAAGCTATTTAAAAATGACTGATCCTGTCAAATACTGTTTGAGTGGACCATAGGATGAAAGTATCTGCATTCAGAAAAGCACTGCAAAGGGCTTATCATTAGTCAGATGATTTGCAACAATCAGTTTTCTGTCATGATCTTGTGGCACAAAGTTTCTTCCTCCTTTGTTCTGGAGAGAACAACTTTGTCCTGTCAATTAGCTTCAGGTGAGAGAAAGAAGCATTGCCATAGAAGGATGGTTGTTCCTCCACCTTCACTTTTCGATGAAGTGACTCCAAGAATACTGAAAACAAGACAGAAGAGCAAAGCTCAGAAGACTTTCCTCTTGCAAAATACGTTTACTGCTTTACCAAGCCCTTTGTCAGCTCTCATCAAGGCAGCTGCTGACACTGGCCAAGACAGTCCGGCATGGCTAATTGCTGAAGACCTGGCACTGTTAAAAGTAAGATGGTACTTTGTTTTTATCGACTTCAGAAACTTTTTACTTGGAAGTTTATGACAACATCCATAGCCCTTGATTAATACAGGATTATCCATGCTTGTGCACACAAGAAAGGTATTTAATTGTAACATTGCACTGGTTTGATTTCTCCCTACCTCCTAGGCGGTGAAACAGTTACGGACACTTCCTTTAAACCCTGCTCTTGTGTCACCGGCACAGAGAGCGAACTGGGAGTTTGTCAGTGATGTCGTTAACTCCTGTAACTATGTTCATCGCTCCCCAAAGCAATGCCAAAACCGTTACACAAATGCATTTGCAAGTCTAGATGGAAAGGTCAGTTTAAGCTGAAATGTGTGTTACGTTATTTCTTTTTTTTTAGTTCCTCATCGCTGTTAGTGGCCAGTAAACAGAATCCTAACTATACTGTAGAATTCTGAATAGCTTGGTATGCAAGCAAATGCTAGTAAATATCTTCCCCTGTCAGTATGATTACTATAGGTTATATTTATTATAGTTTATGTACACTTAAGAATATTAATTTCTTTATTGCTGGGAAAATTATATGTCGCTCTGCACTCTTGGTATATTAAAAATAAGACAGGGAAGCTACTTTACCTTTTAACTGACAGGATATGAATTGACTTCAGTCAAGACTATTGTAAACTGTGATTTTTGAGACAGGGTATTTATGATTACTTACTTTTGGTACCTAAGCCTTCAATTCCTATTTATTCCAGAACAGAGATGATTATTCTCTTCATGCTAGACAAGCCTATGCTAACGACCAGAATTCTGAACGTATTCAAATCTACATGAATCACTTTGAGTTGATGACAATGACTTCTAGAAAAAGAAGTTCCTCAAAAAGGTTTCTGTAAGTCAACTTCTAATGTCAATTATAATGTTTCCCACATTTAACATTTAATCAGTTTGGCCTGATTGGTGATTTTTTTTTTTTCTTCTTAAACATGAATGTATTTCACGGTGGTGTTTTCATCAGAGGTGTTGTGATGACCTTCAGCTTTATGTATGGTGCATTTACCGCCAAAGAATCAAACCTGTGCTTCTGCTGATGTACAGAACAGCTTGAAGTGCTTCAGTATTGTCATGTTCCTGGAGGGTCGCCCCAGGCTCGCCTCAACTCTTTTCTCAGGTCTAACCATATAGCTGTTATATTTCTAGGTAAAGAACTGGCAGGAGTTCCCTGCTAATCCCCAGCTTGTCAAATCTTAATTGCAGAGTACTCTTCCAGAATTTAAAAATTCTTTGTGTTAAAATGTCATTAATATTAAAATCATTGCATAAAACTAAGTTAGCTTAAGCTACTTCATTTACTTGCAGTGCAGACAACTATGACAAGCTGCTACCTATGCCTGAAGTTGTTTCCATCTGTGCAGAGCCTATGATGATACATGAAAAGGTCTGTTCCATTATTCCAGTTGAATTCCATCCTGTACATTCTTTTCAATAGTTTTTTCAATTATTTTAAGTTTCAAGTATTTTTTTCAATTACTTTTTCCTGTAAGAACAATTGCAATGTCTGGGAATAAGGAAAAATTACCAGGAGTTTTGGAAGACTGAAAATTTTTCAGTATGAGTTTTGACTGTCTAATCTCCTTTATCAGTGCATCAAAGCTATCAGTTGTCCATCTCAGATATATTTCCTTACAGTAGTGTGGTTGTCTCATTTTTCGGCGTTTTGGTGATGTCAGAAGCAGGTAACCATGATATATAATAACTTCTTGTCAAGTCAGAATTTTCTGTTGCAAGCATTAGGAACTCACTTCAGGATAAATGTTTACATGACTTCATGGCAACAGTCGTGTCTTTGTTCTATTCAGAATTAAAACAATTAAAAAGGATATTATCACTATGATTTCTGTCCCCCTTCCTCTATTTCTGTTGTTGTAGGAATCGACCAAAGAACAAATAGCTGCACAGCTGCAGGAGCAACAGCCTAGTCAGAAGCAAGAAGAGGAACCAACGGATACAGGATTTTGGGCTTCATCCCAGAGTGCATTTTACGATGTTGAAAAAGGAATTCCATATATAGAGAGGAACAAATGTCATTTTATGGTACTAATATAATTGTATTTTTTCAATGTATTTATCTTCCTCATTGGAAGAATTTCTTAAAACTTCATACCCTCTTTTGTGATCATTTTAGAACAGTTGTAAATGTTAAAAATCCAAGTTTATTTTATGACACTTTCAGGTTTCAGGATGTACACTCACTCCAGCCACAGCTGTCTTATAGCCAGTGTCCCTGGCACCCACCATTCCAGCACAGCTGGAGCCCTCAACCCCTGGCCAGGTTTTTCAGGCAGAAGCATTTGACAGCATCAGTTGTAACCATCACTCTGGTGATGAGTGTGTGAATGCTTGTGATGACACTGCTTCTATGAGGTAACCTTTTACTTTTTATTTTCAGTTCACATTTTGTTATTGAAAAGAAACCCTCAAATATTAAATAGCATTGCGTTCTTTCAAATTTAATGACAGTAAGTGAAAACAAAGGGAGAATAGTCTTTCAGTAAGGCTTTTACTCTTTAGAAAGCAGTATTATTTGTGTATAAATGCTGTATTATTTGTATAATTGATTTTAAGCATGTAGAATTTTAAACTACCTAAGATAAAACTGAAAATAAGTGACGGTATAGCAAGATGACAGTTTGCTCTCTATACTTTCAGCTAGTGACCACTATTAATCTGAAATTTAATTTTAGATGGGGTTACAAAAAGTTCGAGGAACCAAGTCCTGATGTTCAGACGGAACGGGTGCAGAAGTTACCCTGAGGGCAGACTGCAGGTGCCTGTCAGCCTTGGGAGAGCAAAGCTTGCCTACAGCCCCCCTTGCCTACCGGACAGCTGCAGTAGCCAGGGTTTGAATGTCATCCTCTGGCAGCTGCAAGTTGTATTTTCTTTATTGCTAAAACGTGAAAAAGTGATTTCTTGGTTTTGGGCAGTGTTTTCCTGGGAGCAGTGTACCACCAGGTACCTTTTCTCCTCCGTTCTGCATTGTGGAGCCTTTCAGTGCCCGCGCTCCAGGTCAGCAGTGCCTAATTCCTCCTGTAATCTGGCAAGTGTTCCTTGTGCGTTTTTACAGTATTTCTACATCATTTTGAAGAAAACCGCCACCTTTGCGCATGCGGAATTTAAGTACCTGTTGCCTGCTCAGGCAGAAATTGCTCTTTGGAGGGTTATTACGCTCCCATACCTGCACTACAATAAAACTTAATTCTTGCCTTCGTCCCGAGTCTCGTTGCTGCGCCTGCTGTGCCCGGG